AACCCAACCAATTGTTAAAAATCTTGACTAATGGTTAAATATCGACAAAATGTGTTTTTTGATCATTATTTAGCATAACTAATTGTCAAATTATTAACTATTAGTCAAATAATTTAACCACGGCTCGATGGCGGGTTAACCAAGATGGCGGATAGTTAAACTAGATTCGACAGCTGATTCTTGCTTTGTTGTATAATTTTGTGATCTCATTCCGAAGAATTACATTTTATCTATAATTAATTTAAATATTTTCCGTTATTTTGATGCGTCAGACTCAGAATATTTAAAGTTAGAACTGCGGTTTTCCCTGGAAATTTATGAAATAATGAATAAAATACCACATCAAAATACATAGTATAAATACCACGAAAGTCAGCACAATATTTGAGGAGTTATGGATAACAATTCAATAACATTTTTTTATGTAATAGTTCGGCAAACGAACACATGGATTACCTGATGGTAAGCAATCAGCGCCGCCCATGGACATCCGCAACGGAGGAGTTACGAGTGCGTTGCCGATTTGGAGTCTCAGGGATTGAGGAGGGATTGGAGGAGGGGAAGGATTGGGCCTCCGGTAACTTCACTCACACGGCGAAACACAACGTTGTGGTTGTTACACGCCGGTTTTCTGTGAGGCCGTGGTATCACTCCGGTCGAGCCGACCCATTCGTGCCGAAGCATGGCTCTCCCACACTTATAAGACATATAACGAAAGACATTTCCTTACTTGTTTCCTGACATTATTATTTCATAAAAAGTCCTTTTTTTCTTGCAAAAAACACCAAGTTTAAGAAAACACAATAAAACCCATAGATAGAGAATAGAATAGACAAGCTATTAAAACAATAATAATGGTTAGAGCGAGAAAGTGCAAATGGAATATATGTAGGTGTGAGCAAGACAAAACATACGTTTCTTGTCCCTTTTTAGCATAATTATGCCTTATTTTATTTAAATCGAACCAATACGGTAAATTAATACGGTAAATTGCAGTGAAATTGGCTGTAAAAGCCGTAGTGAGCCGTTTAATGTACATACCTACCTATAATGTATATATAAGACATTTTTTATCTCACGTCGTATACGCTATTAGCTTCTCTATACCTATACTATCTCTATGATAAAACCAAACGATTCCATTTGAAATCAAGACACTTTTGAAAGTTTTGAAATATCAAAAATGACATTTGGTTCAACTTCATTCATTATTGATCAGTGTTGTCAGTTAAAGAAAAATACCCACAAATAAACACGTTTTTTCTAGGGAGGAAGTTGTTCATTGCACTGGCAACAAATTAACCAATGGTTATGTTTGACTATAGTTAAAGTGGACATCAAAAAATGAAATTACGTAATAACAATTGGTTACCCTCTTGACTATAGTTAAGATAACAAATAGTCAAATCATTATCGGATCAAAAAACTGGCCCTTAGTATTTCATAAATGTTTCATAATTGGACACATTTTACACTTACGCACAAACTTTGTCACATCCTTTTCTATACCAGGCTAATAATATCGACGTCTTATATTATTGACCATCCATCCTACCTTCCTGCGTGACCGCTAGTAGAAAGTAGGTGATAATCGTTTATAATAAAATCTGTGTCCTCGTCAGAACTGATTCTCTTTACTCCTCGTAATATACATAAACGTGGGCCGACCCAAATCTGCTTTTCTTTGTTTTTATTTAATCTTTGATGAAATACTCGTTATCATCATTTCTTATTATCCGTATCTCTTTAATATCAACTCGTTCGCAAAACTTAGCTAACTTCGTTACAAATTCGTCTCCCGTAAATTGTAACCTGAAGTCAGTATTCACATAAATTATCTTGTTATTTTTATCAAGTCTAAAACATTCTACTTCTACACATATATTATTTTTAAGTCCTTTTATACTTTCACCATTCACCAAAACCATTTCTACTGATCGCCCAGGTATCCTTAATATTTCAACGACTCTCAGTTGATCAGGCTGATTGTCTGTGTCAATACTAGGGATAGGGTTACTCTCTCTTTCTTTTTCTTCTTGCATTCTTTCAATATTTCTTTTTTGAGCTCTTGTCATCACTGTGGCTATATTTTGCCTAATATTTTTTAGATCATTGGATGTTATAATTAGCGACAAACCATCTGCGACTGTATCATTTTTACCTTTCTGATATTTAATTTCAAAATCGTACTCTTCAAATAATAAACGGAATTTTAACAGTCTACTTGAGGGATCTTTCATACCGAATAAATAAAGCAAAGGTTTGTGATCTGTTATTATGGTAAAACTTTCTTCCAAAAAGGTCTAAAATATTTGAAAGCCCAGACAATTGCTACAAGTTCATTTTGTATCGTAGGATAATTTCTTTCTGCATTATTTAGTGGCCTACTTGTATACGCTATAGGGCGCATATTTTTGTTACATAACGCTGCACCAATGGCTAAGTCCGAGGCGTCAGTTTGGAGAATAAGTTCATTTTTGCTAGAGAAGTCGGGATATTCTAATATTGGTGGAGATATCAGTAGCTGTTTTAATGGTTCAAAATTATTATTAATATGCTGGTTACCTGTAATTGGCGACTGTATAAGGCCAAAACCTAATGTTTCATTGTTTTATTTAATTTGCTATATACAGAAGCTGTTGGTGTACCTTTTTTAAATAAATGAATAAATAAATAAATAGAGTTGACCAATCAAATGTTACGTTTTTCCTGCATAACTGATTCAACGGTAAAGTCTCCGCAAAATCTGCAAAATCTTATATATAAAAATGGATCGCAGAATGTGTTGGTAAGCGCATAACTCAACAACGCCTGGACCAATTTTGCTAATTCTTTTTTTGTTGTGTTTGTTATTGTCAGGAGAAGGTTCTTATCAAAGAAAATATTAGAAAAGTAGAGGGGAAGATTAGGATAAGTGACCCTTTAATAGCGAGATAGTTGGTCCCGTGCGAAGCGGAGGCGGGCCGCTAGTTTTTAATAAACTTTTTATAATAATTACAAAAAGTTACGAAACGTCGAACTTCATCTGAATTTTTAGGTACTGGGTAATTTTGTACGATTCAATCAATCAATCATTTATTGGTCTTAACACCTCGTATGCCTTGTCATTAGAATTTGCTTGCGAGATGGTAAGATCAGCAAAAACTTCAATTTTTCCGGCGAATTGCGAGACAGACATTTTATTTTGCGAAATTCTATTAAGTTTGGTTAACAGTGCATACAAACTAGGATTAGATTCGTAAGCTAATATTTTATTACATAAATCAAAAATGCATTCTGCATATTCTATTTTATATTTATCATCAAACTGCTATCATTTTATGAGTTTTATACAATTCTTTAGCCTTGATTATTTTTTCTGAAACATATCTAGTCTGAGTTTCTCTTTTTATCTCTAATTTTCTTAAACTAATTCCAATATTTTCTAACTCATTACAAATACTATTCAATTCTTCCATGAGACAACTTTATGACTAAAGTAAAATACTATACTATTTTTGCTTTTATTACTAAATACTTACATTAACGGGTCGTAAAATTACGTGTACGTACGTACCTACCTACGCCCATTGAAATTACCGCACTTTCGAGCACAACACTTCCCGACGGTGGCGGCACGGAGTCTTGATTTTCCTGGTTGTCACGTCGACCAGAAAGTCGCATACAGATGCGGCGAAATGCGTCCTCACGCAGCTCTTTACGCACCAACATCAGATGGCATCTTCGGTACTGCTTATACACCAAAAACTACTCCAGCTCCACACAATGCTATGAGGAGGGTGGATATCAATATATTATTTGTATATATATGGTTTGAACCATCGGCTTCGTTGGTAGGGCCGTGTTGATTGATTATCGACTCCTTCAGTTGGCAGTCACACTTCGAACATTTCGAACCCATCGTGGACAAAAATTTTAATTTCGGCGCAATCACAAAAACACAAGGTATCAAGCGGTAGTTGATTCGGAGGAATGTCTGTCAGTCCTTGAAGCATGGCTAAGATATTCCCACTGGAAACTTCCACACATTTTGCTGATGTCGCGTTGCATACTACTGCGAATATGTAACGTTACACAAATCAAAAATTGTAGGTGATAGCGCTGCACTTGCGTTTGGCAGGATCGCCATGAGTTGTGGAGCGTGGGAATATTAAATAAGGAGACGTCTGTATCCAGTAAAGGCCCGTTTATTCCTAATCACTTATAATTAACTTAAGTACATATTATCATACCACATACACAACTACACGTCGTTGTCTCCTTAACTTTTTAACTCAAAATACACAAGAAACTCAAGAAATATTGACAGACGAAATTCTGGTTCACAACAGTGACCTTGTTGACATTGGCCCTTTACATAAAAATCCAAAGAGGTAGCCTCTTTCACGCATTCCATGATATTACATGAGGTGTTATTTGTACCTACATAGGTATTAAGATCATTATGGCCCTGTCTAACATAGCAAATTACAATGTACTTAAAAGTTTGCGAAGCGTATAAAAACTATTTCGTAAGTTCAGAACGACAAGTTCCATGGCCAACTCAAGCTATTAGACAAATAGAAATCGGTATAATTATATGAAAACACTTTACTTACGAGTTTGTTTCTCCCATCTCTTCCAAATAGCTGCTTTTAAAACTTGATCTTTATATTCTTTACATTTTCGATTATAAATCACATTTCTGACGCGTAATAATAACACTGGCGCGTGCACAACTGATGCGGTATGACGTCTCACGACACTGCTCTCCACATCTCACCCGTTCTCAGACGCGACAATGCATCACAGCACAACACGTCAGATAAAAGTAAATGCGGCTTTAGGTGTTTCAATTTTTAAATATTTAAAACGAAGGTTTCGTTATTTTGGATGAGAAATGTATTTAAAAATTATCTCGATTCTCGGATTGCTTTTTGAATTTGCTCACCGTGGCTTACGTTTTGTTGACTTGTTATTATTTTGAAAGCGACTATGACTTCTTCTTTATGTGTACTTACCAACAGTGAGTGCATAAGGAAACTTTTTCGGTTCCGCCATATTGTTTTCTATTGGGATTACCACGCCAGAGCATGACATACTGAATACTGCAATTCCCACGAATTCCAACATTCCATAAATCGTTGTCGTGGCTTCCATTCCTTGTAGCGTTGGGTTATACAGAAATGCGTAATACACCACCATTACAATGCAAAACGCTATAAGAGGAAAATGTTTTAAGTTAGTAAGGAACCTAATTACTTTGGCGCATTGTATTGCAACTATCCAAAAGAGGTAACGCTAAATACCTCAATAATTGCCTATGATACCTACTTCATGATTCTAATAAACTTTTCGTTGCCCAACAATAATATAGCTTCACTTACAGAAGATCTACTACTAAAGTTTGGTGCCTATGCGTCCTCTCATTCTTATTTATTTGATTATTTGACTTTGACGAAACTAGGTGATATCTAATAGCAATAGAAAACATTGCGTTCCTATAGTTAAAATCATAGTAGATACGTGCATGATCGAGCTTCATCCGGACTTTTTTCCTTTTTTTTATTTATCGAACCCGAAAACCAAAAACTTTAAAAGCCGTTTCCCGGGCTCAGATTTTAAATATATATATTTATATACAAAAATTGCTTGTTTGATATAAGTAAGATAATAGGTACTATAGTTGAAATTTCACATTACGGTATTGCGTGGGCACAAATGGGCGTTTTTCAAAGATCAAAATTTTGTCCATACCTCTTAGTATACATACATCAATAAATTGCTACTGCCAAAAGAGGGACACCAAGGTGGCTTGAGCCTACAATGGTTCGGTACGAAAAGACCCACATGCCAATTAAAACGCTTATTTACATTCTTTGACTATCTACTTACCGACCAGAACGTTGGCAACTATTGAGAATGGCGCCAAATACTTCAGATGTCTTATCAAACAAATGAGTATGACGAAAGGTATCATTATAGCTAGATAAACCCGAAGACTCGGGTAACCTGGGAAAAAGAGAGAAACATATAAAACTATCGCAAATCCAATACATGACTAAATTCTTGTAGAATGTCGGTACCTACATAAATCAAATGACAAGTTGGTCAAGATACATAAGTTTGTCAATTTTTATTGAATTTCAAATTGATAACAAAACGAAATTAACATTTGAATATGGGAACACTTTAAAATGTGAGAGAGCAATGTTTCAGCAGGAATGGATAGGCTCGACCGGAGTGAAATCACAGCCTCACAGAAAACCGGCGTGAGACTACAGCATTGTTTTTCGCCATGTGAGTGAGGCTACCGGAGCCCTATCCTTCCCCTACCCAAATCCCTCCGCAAAACTAATCCCTAAATAGTCAGCAACGCACTCGTAAGTCATCTGTTTTTTTTATGTAATTGGTCGGCAAACGAGCAGACGGATTACCTGATGGTAAGCAATCAACGCCGCCCATGGGCACCCGCAACGGAGGATTTACGAGTGCGTTGCCGACCTTTTAGGGATTAGGGATTTGGAGATTTAGGGATTGAGGAGGGATTGAGGGCGGGGAAGGATTGGGCCTCCGGTAACCTCACTCACACGGCCAACTGAAACAACGCTGTGGTCGCTGTGGCTGTGGTTGTTTCACGCCGGTCTTCTGTGAGGCCGTGGTATCACTAAGGTCGAGCCGACCCATTCGTGCCGAAGCATGGCTCTCCCACACTTTGCCGAAGCATGGCTCTCCCACACTTAAAAAGATTCTGAGATCTGTTGTTGCGGGCGTCCATGGGCGGCGCTGATTGCTTAACATTAGGTAATTAATGGGCTCGTATGCCGTCCTAACACATAAAAAATGGGAAACCTGGCATTTATTAATTGAAAAGTTCTGGATGGTTCGTGTCATATATAACAGTTAAATAAACTTACCGGGATACTCTCCTTCAAATTTAGCTTCTGGAGTATTTTCAACTAGCTGCTTCACAGACTTTGCTATAATAATTTGATAGCAACAGCAAGAACCAAAGAGATCTATCATTATAATGACGTCGATCATGTACCTATAAAAAAAATAAGTGTCATTATATAATGATAAAATTGGTAATATAGTGTGGAAAATGTATTTGAGAACCTCAGATTGTAAAACTAATGGCAGATAGATCGCACGAAACAATGTGAAGCCGGCTTGGTAGACATGTGTAATGTACATAATTTTTTTTAGTTTAGGTACTCACAATGCTTCGCAAACATTGTCGAGCACCATATTAAAATTCATCAAAGTAACCTATTTGACGCAAAAAACTGACGTCACAACTCCGTTTTTCATACAAATTTCATAGAAAAGTATCGCTTTTGACATTTGGATAAGAGTATTTTAACTAGTTGGAAACTAGTATTGATGTACAAGGATTTAATTTTACGACATACTGGTTTTGTCATCCACCTAAAAATATCGCGAAGTATCAACAAGCGTTGGCTTCTATAACCAAAATCTATACTTAATTGCTTTTCTTGGCTATCAAGCTTGTTGATACGCTAAAAATTTATATTTTTAAAACGTTGCCCCACGCTAGTATTTTCTTCTGTGTCGTGGGTTTGTTTACAAACATACAATTTTAAAACCAGACCCAGAACAACAATTTATGGAGCACGTATAGAGTTGTTTTGTGCGGGAATCGAACCCGCGACACGTTGCGCGGCAGCCAGCTGCCTAGCGTGCAGTCAATGTAAGCATTTCTATACTAGATACAAAGTCGCATTAATTTTTCTTGGATTTCTTTTGATTGAGGACCTCACAAAATAAATTAAAAAACAAATAACTAACCTAAACACTCTTGAAAACCTGGACAAGCTTGGATTCGTGCACATCATCAAGGAAGCTTCTCCTACATCAGCATATGACATAACCGGTATCCTGGTCCGTTTGTAAATAATTATTGTAGATTGAACGAGTAGCTGAAATAACATTCACATTATTTATATAAATACTCTCCTGATCCCCCACCTCAAAGCCAACATCGGCGACTTTTCCTTGCTTAGTAATCCTTCAACGAATGGTCCAGCCATTCGTCAAAAAGCCATTTACCTAAATACTAAAAGAAAGGATTAGTTCTGATTGTCAGAAAAATTTCTAAAAGTTGTGGTTCCAGACTTCATTCATTCATGCATACTTACAAACTAATGCGTTTAAGTGTGGGAGAGCCATGCTTCGGCACGAATGGGTCGGCTCGACCGTAGTGATACCACGGCCTTACAGAAAACCGGCGTGAAACAACCACAGCGTTGTGTTTCGCCGTGTGAGTGAGGTTACCGGAGGCCCAATCCTTCCCCTCCCCCAATCCCTCTTCAATTCCTTAATCTCCAAATCCCTAAAAGGTCGGCAACGCACTCGTAACTCCTCCGTTGCGGGTGTCCATGGGCGGCGTTGGTTGCTTACCATCAGGTAATCCGTCTGCTCGTTTGCCGAACACTTACATAAAAATAAAAAATGCGTTTATACATAGTATAAAGTGTGTACTCACGTGAAGACAGTACCCCATATAAAAGCCGAACAGGAAGTTAAGGGGAATAGCTACCATTATTCCACCCTTCATGTAGCCAACATGACAACTGAGGATTCCTCCTCCTAAAGCTCCTTTTACAATATGTGCAATGGAACCAATTAAACTGAAAATTAATGATAAAAATGTAACTCTTGCTGAACAAAAACATTTTTGCTTTCCCTATTAAGTATTGTATAGCAAAAACATCCAGTTTATTACCAGAATCCTACAATATTCATTCAACATTAACACACAAACCAACAAAATTTCATACACTATTAGCATCTACTGAGTTAATATCCACCGTATTATGTCGCAAATTGCAGTCAATTTATCATCATTGTCATCCAAACTACGTCAACTACTGAACAAGGCCTGTTTCTCTCTTGGCCTCTTCTTAGGAGTTAAGGTGTTGGTCGTCTTATAGCGTATAGTCTATTCTAGGATAGTGTATGAAATAAGAGTATCGCCGTCTGGTTTCGACACTACTGTAAAGTTACCTGGTGGATTTAATATTTTTTCTTTGTTTGACATAATCGTACGCATCTTCCTCTGCTTGTGATGTTGTTAGATCCTTAAAAAGTCTGCTCCTCTCTTGAGTAGGTGCTTTCGGTGCCTATTGGAACAAAATAAAAATATATCCGTCATTATTATTCACCCTTTTTTTGTAAGGGGAAAATCATCAAATGACTTCTCCCGCCCAGGGCCGAGCGGGAGGGAGTGTCATCAGAATCATACTGATTAAAAAACCCCCTGTTCCTTCTCCTGCTCTGGGCCGAGGTCGCGGTGCGTCATTGTGCTTACCCCGCAACCCCGGCTGAACATCAGCCCTATAGGGACCCGTCTGTGGTGGTATATTGGCTCTTTGAGGCGTGCGCGGAACGCTATGCACCGTACGTTCGAGCCTGGTTCTGGTCGGGCGGCGAGCTGCCCTTACTCGCTGACCGCAGACCCGGTGGCCGGAGATCGTCCCGTGATTATTTATTAACCCTTAAATGCATATGTATTGTGCCGAAAACGGCACAACTTTAAGTTCAAATAGCCCGCCAAATAGTAAACTGTCATACTATTAGCTGTGGTATTTTTAATATTTTATCTCTAAAAAAAATACGATAATATCAGCCTCTACCTGATATTACTAATATATTTTATCTGTCAAATTATAACAGGAGCCAAAGTTCTTAGACCCAACCGAAGTTACGAAAGTTTTTTTGGAAAAAATATAAGTATTGTCCGTTTGTTAGATTCTTCCAAGTAAAAATAATAATATAATTTACTTCAACTCTCGTAAATACGCAAAAATATCTTTATGCCGAAAACGACCCTTCATGCATATTCAGTACATTTTTCTAGTTAGGTGCCTGTTCTAACACGTTTTAAATGTTTTATTTGTTACTTTGCTTTGCCAGGTGGTTGGTTATTGCATGTTGTTGTGTTACTTTTCAGCTATGGAAATAAAGCTAGAAAGTGGAAATTTCTGACGATCAGCTGGAATCCAACGAGGAAGACCTAGATCATTATCCGTCTCGTCAAGATCTTTTAGAGGAGCTGGAAGAAACTACTTTAGAAACATTCAATGGTAATGGTGAAGATATCGATCCAGCTATTGATGCTATTGATCCTCCCGCAGTAACCGACAGTGACCAGCCAATAGCGGAATATTTCAACTCCTGAAAGCGCAAAATTATATGCCAAGTGGAGGTAGAAGTCTATTCTGGAGAAAACGAAACCTGGTCTATTCTGAAGATAAAATAGCAGTTTCAGGTTCTGAAGAATTATCTTGTAATATTTTGAAATTAGATACACCATGTCAATTTTTTACGTACTTTTTCACTAATGAGTTCTTAGAGTCTATTGTTCAGGAATCAAACTTATATGCAACTCAGCAACAACCTTATAGATTAGAAATAAACAGTAGAAGACATGCGAACATATTTAGGGATTATCACTTTCATGTCTGTTTTCATGTGTTCATACTGGGGCAAATTTGGGTTCAGCCCAATACGAGATACCAACCCTGTGAACAAATCTAAAAAAAATTGACGGATATTGCATTTCAACGATAACTCTAAACATCTCCCAGTCGACCATCCAGACCACGACAAGTTAAACAAATTGTGCCTGTGATAACACATTTCAACGAAAAGATTTCTTGTAGATGTGCGCAACAAATAACGGACACTTTTGAAGCAATATAGCCGAATAAGCCTCACAAATGGGCTTTCAAATTATTTTCCATTTGTAGCTTACTCGGATATTTATATAATTTTATTGTATACGAGAGTAAAGACAAGAATGACGAATGATGAATGACGCGAGTAAAGACGAGAGACTGCCAAGTGAACTGAAGAAATAGGAGTCGTTGGAAAAACTGTCATGAGGTTGCTTAGGGTGGTCTCCTAAGCAAAAAAATCATATCTCGATAATTAATTTATATCTTTGCCCCTAATGTATCATTTGGCCACTGAAGGAATCCATTCCTTAGGAACCATACAGCGAAATCGTTTGGGCAAAACTTGTAAAATGCCTCATAAACAAGACAATGAAAAGATTTATACCGCGAGGAACATATGAATTAAAAATAAGTCACAAATTTTGAAAATGTGGATATATATATCTGCAGTTTATATAGGTGCGTCGGTGCAGAACCTGTGGAAACAATCCATAGGTATGATTAAAAATTTCAACGAAAAATCGAAATTGCTTGCCCCAAACTAGTAAAAGAGTACAACGCTCATATGGGAGGCGGCGTCGACCAGATGGATTCTCACCTAGGCAGGTATAAAATTCGCAAAAATTCAAAAGCAGAAAATAGTACATGAGAATGTTTTATCATCTGTTTGTCCTGACTCATCAATGACATCATCAATGCCTGGATTCTCTATAAAAAGTTACGGGGCAAAGAGGGAAAGCCAGCAAAGGTATCATGAATCTTGCAGACTTTCGTTCTGAATTAGCAGACACACTTTGCAAATATTCCACACCTATACCGAGGGGTCGTCCACGTTCTACATCAACAACAGCAGCTGGCCCGCCTCCCAACATATGGAAAGGAAAACCTTGTCAAGTTTTACCCCCAAATGACGCTATACTTAATAACCATTAACAAATAAGGACACCTAATAGGATGATGTGTTCATAGGATGTATGTTTTTCCAGGCTGCTATTTGAAGACTTATATGTGCGAAATGCAAAGTTCATTTATGCGCTAAAAACAGCAAAGACTGCTTCAATGACCTTCACAACAAACAAAATAATATACTGACTAATGCAAATGGCACATGCTGATTTTTAGTAAAAATATACGTAAATACATAATACTGATTTTTTATTTTTTTTCCTCGAATCTAAGCTAGAAAATTGAGGCTACCCACTGACCAATACATTTTTTAAATATTAAAATAAAATATCATGCACATAAGGGACATATTAAAGTATTATAAATTGACAATCCTCCATCTACCGGAAAATATTCCACCATAAAGTGAGATTCTTCCTTCCACTTACTGATTTGCCATAACGTCACGGTTAGCTGGGGAATCGCTGTTACCCAAATTTGGGAGTACTGTTTGTCCATTTGATTCTGATTCCAACTTTGTATCTACCCTAATTATCATCGGTTCTTCGATATACGTGGCCGACCCACTGCCACTGTTATCTGTACCTACTATCGATTATGAATAAAGGAATCAATTACTCACCATTTCCTAAACCATGAAGAAAAATTTATTATTTGTAAAAATTCTTCTGAAATAATATTAAAAATCTTTCCGAAATAATTGTAGAATCCAAACTATTCTGACAAGATGTTTAAACAATTGTCTAAAATGTTTCTTCTGGAATTACACAAAGCAAAGAGAAATAAAAAGTTTGGTTATTTATTCTTAATGAACTGGCCGTATACTTTACAATAACTTTTTTGGTTATTCAATCTTCATGGGATATTATTCGACTTCGAAGTCCAAATCAGAAAAAGAAGAACCATAAACAAACAAAAGTCACTGCGTGTAGCCTAAATTATTAGCAAGCTGAAGTGGCGATGAACGAAAATTTTTAAACTAAGAATTAATTGCTCATGGCTCATAAAAGTTCTAGGTTGCTATTATCTTCCACGGCACTGCTAAAATAGAATTATCACTGTGTTAAGCGGGTTAGGCAGAACCTGCAGTTGCAATTGCAATTACATAAAGCATACTATCGCCTGGCATTCATACTGATATCTATCTATGCTGAATGTTCAGACCGCATATTTAAAGATTTAAAGCTACCAAATTCGCATTCGACTATTATTATATAAAATTGGTCTTGTCAACCAAAAAAAAATATTGACACTTCTAACCAAATATAAATAAAACCCGAACACGTTCCTTACCAGCGAGTCACCCAGTCAATCACATACTTTTAGGAGATTTGGAGGAGAAAATGCCCTATACCTGGGCATTTTCTCCTCCAAATCTCTGCGAGCAGCACTGCGAAGATCTACCGTAGGACACGTTGGAGCATACGGGAGCAGTGTGCGCCGCTTGGGCTGGGCACCGTCGTGACCTCAGGGAAGTGATCAGCGTCGGCAACTTCTTGTATCCGTGTTTGTCACGGTGAAGCGAGAGGAACTAGGAAGCTTCTTCTTTCTGCAAAGTAGTCATGCTCGCATGCTGCATGACGTTCTGGATAGGTAGTGGAACTTCGGGCATCGCGGATAGTGGGACTTTTACCGGCTACAGTAAAAGCAGGTCTACGGTGAGCACCCAGTGACGTATTGAAGGTTAAATCTTTCGGGCGAGAAAGAGGGATGGAGCTCAAAAGATTCACACTTTAACACGTCGTGGTAGGCCCTCAGCTTGCTGCCCCACCAGAACCAGAACCAAATGTACGGTTTTGGGGCCTAATAAGGTTGATGTTTAGTCGGGGTTGCGGGTGCAACCGCAATAATATACCGCAGCCTCGACCTGAAGCAGGAGAAGGAACCGGGTGGGTTTTTTTAGTAAGTAAAAGCCTAACTTCCTCTAGCCCCTTCCAGGGCGAGATTAGTAAGATGCTAAATATTCCTCAACAAAAAAAACTTATCATGAAATCTCGTGGCCTCAAAGGTATTTGACGATAATGCGCATGTTATGGAGGCATGAGTTCAGAGCCACATTAACCATAACATTATCTTGTTTAAGATTAACAATAAATCCCTTGTCAGCCATTATTCAATTAGTGCGTCTTCAATCGTAAATAAATAACCGTAAAAATTAATCAACATAAAAATGTGTGAGTGAAAATAGCTTTTGAATTATCTACGGCTCTCGTAAACACTTACTTTACAAATTGATTTCATGCATCGTGATACAATCGTGCCAATCTGCAACAATATTTAGTTCAAAAGGTATAGCCAGAACATTTGTACGAAAATATGTTACGATGACGAGATTGTATTTGCTTCTGTTCGTTTTCAATTCTTTAATAATTGCAAAGGTAATTTTAATTAGTAGCGTTTGTTGTCATTATGTTTGTAGTTACCTGTCTTGTAACATTATATGTGAATATTTATCTTCCTTACTTATAATCTACGAATATCTTATTAATGATTACAAATCTATGTAGGTATTTTACAAATTAACGACTTATGCTTAAAAAGCGAAAAGTAATAGTTAACTATATATTTACATCAATAACTTTCTTATACTTATTTTTAACAATTATTCTGTTACTTATTTTAATTGTGTTTTATTTAAAGGGAAATTCAGAAGAAACAATAAATAACGATGATGATGAAGGTGAATCAGATTCAATACAAGTCGTTCAAAGGGACACGGTAACAAATATACCAATCCTGACAGATAATCACGATAAAATTCAAAACGATGATGCAGAAAGTGATTCAGAACGAGGAATGCTTAAAAACATCGATACGGCGGAGGTAATTACAAAGTATGATAAGCTTTTAGATCAAATTGACAGTGATTCTACTGATACAGTACTCGAAATCCCAGAAGATAACATCACAGAGCTATCTTTACCTGCTGATACATCTGCAGAAATTAAAAATGCTGGAAACATTAACAATAAAGAAGGTATAAATCAAGCCCATGCTCATGTTGAAAAGGGCCAAGTTAATAGTTTCAATAATCAAAATGATGATTGGAGAAGTGCTGAAAAAGTTGATGACTCAGAAGAGAAATCTTCAAATGAAGAAACTGAGCCTCGTGCTGATTCAAGTATTGAAGATGATCTTAGCACCGAAGAATATTTAGAGAAAAAAGTCAGTGGAAGTTTTCAATTACCAGAACAAAGGCAGCCCGAAAGACGGTCAAATTTTGGTGGAAAATTCACGCATGCTCATACCTACGCAACGCACGATGATCATGAATCAATTTTGGGTAACAAATATTTCAACTATTTTATTTATTTTTAACTTTTATTTTTTAATTAATTGGCCAACTAACAATTGTTTACACTTATTATACATAATCGAATTATATTTCTACATACATTTAGATATTAAAAGAGTTACATTATTGGAATTATAATTTTTGTGTTTAGTATAAAAAATAATCATAATGCTTTAATGCACAATTAACATACAATATCGACTAACTGTAATGGAATAAACTAGGTATGTCTACAAGTAACTAACTTAAGTATGGGAGGTCTATTCTTCGAAAGGAATGGCCGGGCTCGACAGGAGTGATACCACGGCCTTACAGATTGCGATGCCGTGTAACGCTTGTGGTGTTTGCTTTTGGCCGTGTGCATGAGGTTATCAGAGGCCTAATCCTCCCCTTATCCATCTAGCCTCCTAAACAACCTGCAAACGGCCAGCAATGCACGTGTTGAGTTTTAGTGTTGCCTACTTTTTTATGTAGGTAATAGGTCGGCAAACGAGCAGACCGTTGGTAAGACCGACCTGATGGTAAGCAGTCAGCGCCGCCCATGGACACTTGCAACGAAGAAGTTACGAGTGCGCTGCCGACCTTTTAGTGATTTGGAGATTTAGGGATTGGAAGGGATCGGGGTAGGGGAAGGATTCGGCCTCCGGTAACCTCACTCACACGGCGAAACACAACGCTGTGGTTGTTTCACGCTGGTTTTCTGTGAGGCCGTGGTATCACTCCGGTCGAGCCGACCCATTCGTGCCGAAGCTTGGCTCTCCCACGCCCTACTATGTTTGGGCGGCTCCGATTGCTAACAATCAGGTGCTCTGTCTGCTTGCTGGCCAATCTGTAAACCCACCAAATCCGTTTTTCTTCAGGTACCTACTAATATGTAGATAAGTATATATTTTCGAATAAGTAAGATCGTCTCAGGGACAAAATATTAGCCAAATCGTTTTTAACTTTTTCATGTTTTCGCAAAAGTAAACTAAAGTGAAACTATCTCCCTAGTACGGTTTTACAAAAATCGATGTGATAAATGGACACTGCGACTTTTACTGTAAATATGTAATGGGGAACTGATTTTTATGTTAAGTGATGTTATTAACAAATGGGGCTCTCATAATTTATAAATAATTTAGATTTATGGATTGATAAAGACTATATGAATTTCTTAATCATTTACAGAACCAAGTCCTATGAGAAGATTCGGTGAAGTATCAGCACCTCAATACCGACCCGTGTTAACTAGAAATGGAATCGTTTTCTCCCCGTCTATTTACCCACTGCAGCCGGGTCGTTCACTGTTAGAACGGTTGGCCGGACGCTCTTTATTCCCTCATATTCCACCTCACGTAAATATGGGGCACGAACGTTTTCACAAACAGCGAAAAACGACACCAAAAGTAATTTCAGAACCGCAATATGAAGATACAAAAATGATGGATGATTACAATGACTATGGGCCAAATACAAACACTTATTCGTACACCCCTGTGAGAACTATAACGACGCAAGCGCCCCCACATCAAAACGATGCTTCTAACAAATTCAATGTATTCCAAAAACTAATTGAAGCTTCAAATCATCCTAAGCCTCTAAGAAGATCATTCAACGATTTTTCTAGTGCCCAAAGACAATATCCTGAAACTTACGACCCCTATAAGCGAAGATTACTTTGAAAAAAGTAATTTAAGAAACTTATTTTCAAGACTTTCTAATAAATTTATAATTTTAAATAAGTATAGTTTTTTATTGCCAATATTTTAGCCTACATATTACAGTTTAAGATTTTATTTTTATGTTTCACAGTCGATTGTTTGTCCCTATAATCACCAGTTTATATTAAAATAATACTTTTGTACTGCATTAAATTGTAACGAAACGCAGTGTCTTCTGCAACTGTTGAAGTGTCAATTTAAATTGACAATGACAAAGTGTCAGTTTTGAAGATAATGTCACCAACTAAAAGTTTTGTTTGTTTTGAATTTACAAAATGTGTGAAAACCTGATAATACTGTGATAATAAGAAACACATAATTCTACCGTTAGTATTAAAAGAAGAAAAACTACTTCAGTAGGTACTATGATTCTTCTCATCCTTAATAATAACAGAGCTATTTTGAATTTCTAGTACATTTGTGTGCCTTTAACAATAACCTACTACTTTAGTAGTAGGTAGTTAACTCGCTGCAATGTTTATTCCCACACTTATAAACAGCTTGGGGATTGTAATTTTTTATTTACTTATTTAATAAATGGTGAAACAACAGCTACATTATACAATTTTAGCAGTTTAATGTAATTGTGATGGACCATCATCTTAAACAAAATCTTCAACTTTTGAGGATTGTGCTAACTCCTGTACCTGGTTGATATTTTGTCCATTCAGTCTATCCACGTTTCTTTCTCTTACAATTAATTTATTACCTGCAGTTCTTTTAAAACTTGAAGATGGGGAAGAGATATCTTTGTGACTACTGTAACAAGGCAATGGTAGCAGCACCAGCTATAGTGAAGACACATAACAAAGGATTAGTTCATCAAAGACTAGTACAGGAACATTATCAACAGTTCAAAGGTCAGTAAAGGTTAAACAAAACTTTGTACGCAGAAAAGTAGGACTTTCAATGTATGAAGCTATTCTTTAGGCTGGAGTTGACCAGATTATTATACATCTACACCACTTATAATAGCACAGAGAAAATTCAAAGACTTTATTGCATTCATGTGTACATTAACTGTTACAAAAATGAAGTTAAGTGCTAACAAGAAACCCGGTTAGAGCACGGCAACATAATAATTGTAACTTAAATTTAATACATCATAGCTAAAAACAATGCAATTACTTAATTCTTTTATTTATATGTTTGTATCATTATTACATATTCAGTAGAGGAATATTATATGTTATAATCAAAGAAAATTATGAACCAGGACACGTTGATTACATAGACTACTATGATATTACAACTCTATGGCATGTGTCATGTGCTTTTTTTTAAAAAATATTGAGCAACATTAAGTTTTGCTACAGTTATGTCAAGCCTTATGCATCAAGTATGCTCTAGTCTAAATCACAAATGGTTCAAATCTACCTGTACCAATGTGAGGGAGAAGGATTGGTCCGGTAATCTCACTCACATTGTGATATGCAACACTTTGTATCAAACAAGTTTTCTGTGAGGCCATAGTATCACTCTGATCGAGCCGACTCATTTGTGCCGAAGCTTACCTCTCCCACACTTTAAATTTGTGTATCAGTTACAGTTTTTTTTAATAGTAAAAATTGTGAGAATTATTGAAATAATGACTACCTTCTAACCGTTGTTTGAAGTCACAACAGGACTTTTATTCAGGAGCAGCATACTGACTTGCTCGTCACCATAAGTCCCGTTGTGACTGAAAGCCAGTAGTTTTCCCAAGATAATTCACGTGAACAAGTCGTTACTATACTATCAATACTAATATTATGAAGAGGTAAAATTTGTAAGTTTGTATTTAGGGGGTAATCTTTGGAACCGCTGGTCGGATTGCATAAATTCTTTCACGTACACTATTGTGTACTGTCTATGTATTTTTGAGTAAATAAAACACGCTAGGTAGCATTTGTCGGGTAATGACGAAATCAAGACTGTCACATTAATATTAGGTCTACCTACACTATCCTTAACTTTATATTTCAACAAAGTAAGCAAGTACCCACATAACTAAACCATACATAACAGATGCATAGCTACAATGTTCCCTCGTGCTATAGGCTATAAAACATCACGCTACGATTAAATGGAGCCGTGCAGCTGGCGAAACCGCGCGAGAGTAGCTAGTTTTTAATATTTAAGTAACAGCTAAATTAAAATGCTTTTAATTTATATTATAATATTTCAGATATAGAGACGATATTAGTAGAAGAAAGTAAAAAGAAGCCATGTGTAAGATTTGCAAGCGGAGAATGTAAATTTGGTAGTATATGTCACTTCTCACATTATACTGTGGAGCAAATACAAGCTATGGGAGAATATGGTTTGTATATTATAATTTTTTTTTATGTTATAGGTCAGCAAGCCTGCAGTCGGATTACCTGATGGTAAGCAATCAGCGCCACCCATGGACACCCAGCAACAGAGAAGATACGAGTGCGTTGTCGACCTTTTGGGGATTTAGAGATTGGCGGAAGGATAGGATTGGGCCTCCTCTAGCCTTACACGGCGAAACACAACGCTGTGGTTGTTTCACGCCGGTTTTCTGTAAGGCCGTGGTATCACTCCGGTCGAGCCGACCCACTCGTGCCGAAGCATGGCAATCCCACACTAGAACTATTTTGTTCACTTATGAATTGTAGTCTTAAATCCACCAATCACCGTTTCAATAGTTTCCTAGGTCAATACTATAATTATCACTGCATAGTATAAAACAAAGTCGCTTTCTCTGTTCCTATATCCCTATGTATCCTTAAATACTTTTTACGCTTTGGATTTTGATGCAGTTTTTAGGGTTTCGCAGTAAACTAGGAACCCTTATTTATAGTTTCACCATGTCTATGTGTCTGTCTTCGGATAATCTCAGTGACCGTTAGCACTAGAAGCTGAAATTTAGCACAAATATATTTATCAATCACATAAAATAAAAAGTGAACAAAATATTTATTAGGGTTCTTCATCAACCTGGCGATACACAACATTTTTGGTAAATTTTTAAGAAATAAGTATTATAATTTGGAGTAGTATCGTTTTTGACATTTGAATAAAAGTATTGAATTTGACTAGTTGCAAACTACCGTATTATACTCCAGATTAATTAAATTTTATCTGTACAAACGCTTAATTTTAAGAATGTTGGTTAGCTCGTAAGTGTCTAATGTATAAGACCTACAACATATAACCAATATCTACTTTTAACTACTTGGTATACATCATAAGCTGTGGGCCTACCTTATCATAATAAATAAGGAGGAGTAGCAGCGCGACAGTCGCTGAGTCGCGTGTCGCGGAATTGCTCATGAATATGGGCTATGGCTTGAAACTAGTCGAGTATCTCGTCAAATTATTACGTGAGTAAGCCGAAAACATAATAAATAATTTAGAATGTCTCACGAAAGTTATAATAAAAATAAGGAGGAATTATTTAATACTGTAGTTTCCAACTAGTCAAATTAAATACTTTTATCCAAATGTCAAAAACGATACTTTTCTATGAAATTTGTAGGAAAAACTGAGTTATGACATCATTGTATTTTTGCACGGTATATTTGCGTCAAATAGCTTACTTATTTCTTAAAAATTAGTAAACAAATAGGTATCTAAAATTTAGTGTATCAATCGATCGATGAATAAAAGTAAAGTTTTTTTTAATATTTTATTGTATTGAAACGTCAAATCAAATTTTTGACTTAGGAAACTACCCAGTTATGAGCAGTATGTCACATGAAATACTTACCGTTTTCTTTGTCCATTTCAGTGGCATCGAAGAATCGACCAAAGGATGTCATATTCCCATCGTTCGAAGAGTTAGTTCTAAAGTTAATGGATGAAAAATCAAACAAGCAGCAGGATTCAACCGATGGTACCACAGTGATGTATGATAAAAACGGAATCACACATACTTTTCCATGGACTTACAACACTATACTGGATAACTATCCGGACCGATTGCCGCCAAGCGTGAAAAGATTAAAAATAGAAGATTTTGAAGATGCTAAAATTGAAACTTGGGGGTGATTTATTGATTATAATAAAGATAGAATTATTTATTTCGTATTGTACTGTTTTATTTATGAATTTGCCAAACGATATTGTTATCTATTAGTTGCTGTATTAGGGAAATTAACGAATATCCCTAAAACAAGGTCGTCAATCGTCAATCGTCAACCGTCAACTTTTTTTGCCTAACTTGTAGTTCTTCTAAAGCAGTAACATTGTAGTGTATTTAACTAGACGTAACCATAGAATGCCCTTATTCACATCGTAATATATTTTTGATAGTTTATTTTTTTTAATAGGAGGTCAATTCATCTGATGGGAAGTGAAATGATAGTAAGTAGTCACAGGCGCGTTGCCGGCCTTTTAAAGGTGGATTCCCACGGCCCACTAAACGACAGGCATCGCCAGACGCTGCCCTACCTGTGGAGACCTGTCAGGGCCTGTACCGACCGTTCCCACGGCATGTGTCGGCTTGTTGACTAACATTCCAACATGAGCAGTGATACGGAGCGCTTAGCTGCGTGTGCGGCCGCTGTAGTTTTATTCAGCGGTGAATATTTGCTAACGCAAGCAAAAAGGACAAGTCGCGAAGACAAGGACAGGTCGCGACAGGCACCGTCGCACGAGGCCGCGCCGCGCCTTTGAACTTACCGACTTCCGATGGATCGTCACGGGCGGCATCAGGGCACTGCAGGCCATATCGGATGCGACGGTTCCCATGGCCTGTCGGCCTGTCCCGGCGCGGCCTGGCCTGTGAGAAATCAGGCCGTGGGAACCCGGTTTAAGAAGTAGAACGCTCGTTTCTTGAAGGTTTGTCAGAACATTTCAAAAATGCCGACTGTAGGTATACCAATACCGGCCTTTTCCACCCAACTTGTTCGCTTTATAGGATTAAACTTTAAACCCAATTGCTGAAGGCTTCACTAGTCTCTAAAGGTAGGTACGCAAGACACCCTCACAAAGAAAACAACATGTATTTAGTTCTGAAGCACTTTAATATATTTTTTTTAATTTTAACCTTAAATAACTACCATATACAGCACTTACCGCTTCATTTTATAAGTATTCTATTACATTTTCTTGACCATCCAATCGTTATCACCGCGTCGGTTGTCGCCTACATAAATCCTGATTTTAAGCGTACCCGTGCATAGCTTGAAACTAGTCGAACTACCCCGAGTAAGCCGTACAAGTAATTTAGTAACTACACTAAAAAAATAAATCTTATATGTAATTTTCGGATTAAAAATAAAATCAATAAAAAATCTTATAACGTAAGTATGAAATGATGTTTTTCTAGCTGACTTCAAAAAAGATTTCTTTCTGTCAGGTACTGCTACAGTTTTCTAACAGTCTTAGATATTTGAGTGGTCCGTTTTAATCCCCGTAAACCTGCTCTTCTGTATATTGGGTATGATATAGGCGGATAGTTTATAAATCTGAACTGAGGCGAAATTTCGTACCTCAATGGTACAATCTGTAAAATTAAATATAACTTTTTTTATTCACACTTGTATTCTATATTATAAACGCGACAATGTTAGGTAAGTACCTACATTCACTTTAATGTGTCAAACCCCAAGCGAACGCCGGCGTTTGCGCACCTATTGTCTTATCTACTATTCTGTTTCATTGGGTACAAAGATTGCAATTAAATTTGCCACTGAGATGGACTACAGTTTGGAACTGTGGTTTGGAACATCAGGGAAGCTACTTTTTACTCCGGTACTGCGGGAAAAGTGGCCATCGATGACCGCACGCCGCTCATGAATATGAGTCCCGTTGGTTACTAGGTACTTGAAAGTAGTACTTACAGCTTAAGAGTTCATTCAGGTTAACAGTTATTTTCAAAAAAATGTTAAACCCTGGAAAAACAATCAGTGAATAAAAGAACAATTTACCTGATCCATGCACCCAAATAGAACGAACCAAAATAAAATATCCATGCAATGCATTTTGATATAGGTAACGTGTTTTGTTTATTTAAGTATTTTATCTACATTCAACACATAGCCGTAATAAATAATAACACATATTATATTTTAAAATAATTCCTTCCCTATAGGTATTGTTATTGTTTATTACAACAATCAAACGGCTGACGTTTATTATAAAAACAATAAAATTTATATTAAAACATTCAAAATGATTTATTGTTGACTATATTGATAAGGAAATGTAAAAAAGTGGCAAAATAACAATACAGCATAGGTACTAGCTATTCTCGCGTTGTTTCCAGACTTCGACAGGTCGCAGCGTGATGTTTTATAGCCATTTAACCTTCCTTGATAAATGGACCAACAAATACAAAAACAATTGTTCAACTCGAATCAGTAGTTTCTTAGATTAGCGCGTTCAAACAAACTACAACTTTATAACATTAGTGTAGGTAGATGAGAGTTGTAATCTTCCACAAAGTAAACAAAAGACGTATTAAAATAGCTGTGTCTTATAAACAACAAGAAAGGGAAATTGAGGATGGGGACCCCCCCATCCTCAATCCTCAAATTCCCTTTCTTTTTGTTAACAAGGAGATGTCTTTGAAAGGCGCCTTGTTTATGGGGAACTGGGAGTGTGGATAAGAGCTCTTGAAAAAGATGGGATCTCATTCCCAATTTAAAGAAATAAGTAGTAGGTACTAAAGTTTTTAAAAGATGCGAATGCTTTCCGAGATTACAAGTGGAATAAAAAAAAACAAAAAATTTGGTCATGTGGTGGCTTTCAACAACTTTCTTGGTGGCCACCACACCGGGACCTCTTTATAGACCAACTCTAGAGTCTCAAATCCCCTAAGCTTAAATCCCTAATAACCCACAAAACCCGCAACGCACTTGCGTAGGGGAGGTGGGCCCAAAACGGGTACGCTAAGGGATATTTACAATAAAAAATTAGTAGAAAAGAAAATTAAACTTCTATTTTTACTTTTCAAATTATGTAATTAATAAAGAGTCTAAAATTAGAACAAACATAAAAAAAGTTCTTCAGAATTCGATCAAAAACAAAAAACAAAAAATACCTTCAAACTACCCGTTTTTCCCCATGTGGTGCCTAAAACGGGTACGGCGTTTGGGCCAAACGGGTATAAGGTAATTATCGAGATCAATGGACATTAAAAGGAAAGGATTTGCCAAAAAACTAATACTATATTAATACTATTAAGTCTTCTTTTTCATTGCAGTCTTCATTATTAAACTTATTGCACTTTCTTCGATCATCATTCATCATAAATCAACTTGTATCGTCTCAATTATTAACTATAAAATTAAAGTTATTCCTGACAGCCATCACAATAATAGGAACCTCTACCAGAATAAGTTGTGCACGCCTCGTGGGCCCACATTTGACAATCATCGCATTTGATCCAGTCCTCTATAGGCGGGTATGAGTATAACTCTGAACAAACCAAGCATGGGTATTCGGTTCCGTGATCTTCATTATCCTTTGGTCCTCGCTTGTACCTTTTTTGCTTATTTGTCTTACTAGTAGAAGCTTTTACTACCTTCAAATTTTTCTTCACTGCTTGGATTTTACTCATAGGAACTTTCTTTTTCTCTTCTTTTTCTCGTTGCTGATCTTTTACTGGCGTACCCGATTTACCCATACCCGTTTTGCCCGAAGAGCACTTTTTAGTTTTTACACTTTATAGCCTTATAATTTAAACAAAAGTAGCAACAAGCTTCCGAAGATAAAATAACACAATACTAGCAAAACAGTAACGTAAATTTTTTGAGAACATATCATACACCATTTTTAAGTAAACACAACTATTCCAAACCAATATTTTTTAATGGAAATAGCAAAAAAACATTTTTTTAACTTACTTGGAAAGCGCTTGTATCACTAACCTACGTAACTCCTTTGGGTTAACGAGTGTCCATAGGCGGCGCCGACTGCTCACCTTCAAATAATCCGTCTGCGCATTAGGTATATGGCGTATAAATATTGTAAGGTATTTCAAACCCTGTACCTACCTGTATTTAATTTTATATCTTACTTCGCTTTTTATATCTTACGCGGCTTCGCCCGCGTCAAATTAGTTTTTGTCAATCCTGGTTACAGGTACAGGTTACAGGGGCCAGCCCAGGAATTTGAAAACGGTACCCCTCGTGCCCCTTGCTAAATATAAGCGGGTATTGTAGTGCGTCATAAGACTTGTGTGTGTCGGACACCCTGATCAATATGTTGTCACGGGTTTGAAAAACAATATCGCGCGATGCGAACTGTTCACCACACACCAGAAGCGACTTCGTTTATTAAGGATGCATTATAACGTCTTTCATATTCCCCGCTTGGCGTACGATCTGCGAGTATTATTAATTTGTAATTTTCCCCTGGCATTCTTTTTATTGCTGTTTTGAAGGTGTTAATGAGGTCATTATGTTCGTGCAACATTCTTTAAATTTTTAATTGCATACTAACTTTCAACCCTTATTTCACCCCCTAGCTCGTTGCAATTTCAAAAATGCTAGAACAAATATTTCATAATTTCTTATCAAGTGCTTAAATATAAAGTTTTAAGGTTTTATCTTTTAAAATTAAGAAATCCCATACAAACTTTTCAACCACTATTTCAACCCCTTTATACCTGTTTTTCGAAATAAAAAGTAGCCTATGTACTGTCTCGGGGTCTAAAGATTGTCTATACCAAATTTCATTAAAATCGGATGCGAGGTTTAAGCGGGAAAGCGTAACAGACAGACAGATAGTTAGGATTATTAAAATACGTTTCTCAATTTACACCATAAAAAATAATAAAATAGGCGGGAAATTTCAATGTATGGTTGTCAGCAGCAGCTAGCAACACGGGGAGAAAATGGCGGAAATTCGGGTGGACCTCACGGAACTGTACGGTTGTGATAACGATATTTAATATTTTAAAATAAATAAAAATTGATTGTGTAGGTACTGGAGGTCTTGGCGTTTTCTTTGGAGTGGAGGCTTATTATAAAATAATGCTTAGCAGTTTATATCTTGAGGTGGATCGAACAACCTTCTGTGTTTGTGGGTCGCTGGGACTCGCTGACGTAATGGCACTGGATGCGACTACACATTGAGGGTGGTCGCGATCAATCCCTGCCATAAAATGTTGTTGCTATGAGGCGCCACTGTCTGATTGTCTTTGTCTTTATGTGTAACTACCTACTAATAACAGCTTTATAAGGTTTCTTGTATTCAAGGGCGTCGCCAAGTCGGCGTCACAGCTGCCCCCTCCCTGGATATTCTAAAAAGTTGCCAAATATAATGCCTCAAACAAGTTCAAGCCTCGAACAATTGTTCCGACGTAGTCGACGCTCAAATGAATTGACCAATTTTACCTCGTGAATTTTACTACGCTACCGCAGGAGCGGGAGAGGTGGAGGGGGGAAGCAACGTGTCAACGTGTGACTTTACCTACATTTCTTACTCATAGAGAAGAAAAGTATGAACTTTGGTAGTTACCTCCTACAACACATACATACTTTTGTAGTCAACTTGCATCCCTGTGCTGCCAGCCATCGGCTGGCGTCGCCCTTGCTTGTATTACTAACAATATAATTATATTTCGGCCTTTTGTCTGAAAAGTATGTCATTCATGAGTATTTAAGTCGTAACTGAGATGTCAAAATCATGAACAGCTTGTAACAATGCAATGCTGGAAAATTACCCTCCTGTACAAAAGGAGGTTTGCCAGTTTTTTCACACTTCGCAAAAGATTTGACCATAGGTATGATAGTATAGTATATTAGAAAACGTAGTGTGGGCAGGCCTCCTGCTAGGTGGACCGACGACATCGTCAGAGTCGCGGGGAGCCAATGGATGCAGGTGGCAACTTGTCGTTCGACGTGGAGAGCTAAGGGGGAGGCCTTTGTCCAGCAGTGGACGTCTTCCGGCTGATGATGATGATGATGATAGTTAATAAGATTGTACCGTTGCTTGGTCTTTGTCAATTGTGTAAGCCCTTATCCGACTTCTATCATCCACGGCAAGTGCGATCGCGACCGCGATTCCTACAGTCTATGGGTAAGATACGTTCTAAAACCCACACACCACATAGCCCGTGACTTCACAATAAAACTTATTCAATCAAAATTTTTCAATGTCAATTTCTTCGTATCAACAGACTGCACTTTTAATTCTTATGGTAACAAACCATGAAACGAAATTTGATAAGCGTAGGAACCTCTATCAGAAATGTATGTGCCATGAATGTCTTTCAACCATTGTTTGTTATTTCTTTTTTTGCTGTAAGTATTACAAATACAGTTCAGGTGTTTGTCATGGAAGCTAAAGAAAAGATTCCGCATAAGGCGCTCCATTCGTGGGTCCAAATTACTACTATCATTCAAATGCTTCTTTTTAACCAAATTCGACAATAGCACTTGCAATAGAAAGCAGAATGTCTTTCTACGATCCACCTTCTATCTTACAATTTTTGCTCGTTGGTCTAGCAAAAACTTGAAAAGGCCAGAACTGATTAGTAGTATTCAAATATTAATGGAAGGTGTAATGGTAAGATATTGTGGAAAATATACAGGTAAAAGACTTATAATAGCAATTTTCTAAAAGTAAAAGTGTTATTATAAACGTTAATAAATTTTGAAGTGATCGGTAGGTACTGATTTCGCCGGTCTAGCTAGTTCCTTATACTTAAACCGAAGCGCGAAAATGTATACGCTTGAGATACAATTTTTAATTATAATAATTTCAACCATAACATATCACGCACTTATTTACAGATCACCAAACAACAGGAACTCACCGCAATAAATGAGACCTATGTAACAGACATCATGCGAGCATTACAGGATATGTCCAAAGACAGTGGCATAGTCTTACTAGCACAAACCGATCCCTTCATATCAAACGCGTCAATTCTTTTAACAGACGAAGAAACAGATGACGAACATGATAAAGCAGATACCGATAATGTTTTTGCAGAATCAGAAGAAGTTAACATCAATTCTACCGAAGAAAAATCACCAAAAATGAAGAATATACTTAGATGGCTGCCACCTAAAAAACCTAAGAAAATAAATTATACCCAGAAACGAGAGGAACAGGAAATAATTGCGAAAGAAGAGAGAAATGCGCTTAAAGCCCGACAGATCAATGCTGAAAGAATAGCTTACGTAATGGCCCTACTCAAAGGTGATTTTTGGAGTACTGTTTATATGTATGGAGAAGTACAACGAATTATCAACAATCGTGAAGTTCTCGATGATGTAAGAAAAATGATAATATTTCTTGAAAAAGATGGTAATGAGAAATTTAAAAAGAAAGTTCTAAAGTGCTTAAAAGATGCGACTGCTTTCCGAGATTACAAGTGGAATAAAAAACCAAACAATTTGGTCATTCAAGTACTTAAGGATCCGGAAAATGATAACGTTATAGCGTAGCTAAAATACATTTTAGAAAAAAAGTCAACTGTCTTATTTTAATTTTTTTTTTTTGTTTTCTTTTTATGGTCAAATGCAAAATTCTTAGAACAAGTTTGAATTTAAAACACTAGCGCGACAGACGAAATAACATTTTGAGGAATAAATTAAAGTTGGATAATTATATGCATAAAGTTATATAAGTAAATAAAAGTAGTGTTGATGTATATGAAAGTGTATCTATAAGGGTGAAGCCATCACAAAGTGGTCTGTTCCTGCTATCCTGTTGCTTAAGTTTAATAATAGTGTGTAACAGACTGCTAAGTGTGATTTAACATCGTCAGCATATAACAGCCCACTGCTGAGCAAAAGCGTCTTCTCACACGGAGAGGGTTTGAGCATTAATCACCACACTTGCTCAATGCGGGTTGGCGATTTTAAACTACTAATTTGAAATTATAAGTTCAGGTTTTCTCACGATGTTTACCTTCACCAGTGAAGTCGTTGAAGTCTAAATAATTTTTTTCGTCAGTGAAGTCTAAATAATCATAGAAAGTACATAATATAATTCAGAAAAAGTCACATTGGTACTTGCCAGGTTTCGAACCTACACCCTCATGCCACAACGACCTTAGTGTGAGTTTGCTTTACCTACGTTAAAGACGTTTAGGGCGTTCGGGGATTTGATCACATTGACCTGCTCCAAAATAACCAACCAATCAAATGGCTAAATGCGGTTACGATTCGGACGGGTTACGTTAACAGTCGGAATTTTTTTATTTATTTAATAAAAAATCATGCTCAATGTGTACTTATGCGGACTTAATGCCTTAGGTATTTTCTACCAGTCGAGCCTTAGGTGATGCAGAAATGAGCCAACTGCAAGAAGCAAGTAAAAAAGAAGTCAAAAATCATTTATTCCAATTAGACCTTTACAGGCACTTTTGAACGTCAAACAAAAATTTTGAAGATATAGTGTCAGTCTGTCGGTCAGTCCTCTTAATGAAGCTATTTGCTCGTTCCAAAGTGTAGATTCCGATGGAGAAGAACGAGCAAGAAACTCCATGGTTACTCTTTTTAAATCAGTTTCACATACAGATTCTTTTTACAAACAGTTGGTTCAATTATGTGTAAACAGTGTAAGTGTGCAAGCAAACAGACTTTCATTTCCTTGGTATTTTAATCATTATTTTAACAAATCGTTACGCCTGGAAGATTAATTAACTTTTCATTTAATACAATATCCGTTCTTAGATTTGATGATGCCGCCAGTTTTAGTGAGAATTTGTGTAATTCTTTATTCGTTTTATTATTTAGACATTCATTTTCAAAATTTTTGGTTCCCGGTATTATTTATCCTGCCATTTAGAAAGATTAACAATAAAATATAACTGTGACTATGTATCTTTTAGAATTTTATTTTAATCGATTCTGTTCAGTGTATGTATGTTTACGCATTTTCTTGGAATACATAATAATTTAGAATTTACTATTATTTTTAGCTTTCATCAATCGCAATATTTGCTCACTTTGTTGTTGATGCAACAGATTTAGAAGACTTTGTGGATGCAATTATCAATGCGAATAAGGGAAGAAGTGACAGTAATTCACTTGAACAACCAACACTCAATAATATAGTTATCGTAGTACCAGATTCAGGTAACGAATCAGAAACAAATGAAGATAAAAATAAAGACGATACACGACCTGACGCTTACCATGCTGCAATGGACAAATACTTAAAACTTCAAAATGAAAATGTGAGTTTTACTTTTGATAAGGATCGAAGAATGGTCGGATCACCGTATTCTGAAATGGACGCATCTGAAGGCCCAATGAGTCTAAGCAAGAAATACGTTAAAAAAATTATGACAACTGAACGTATTCCTACAGATAGCGCTGACCACGAAAGGAGATTGAAAGCAATTAAAGAACATATGGAAGAGCATTTCACTTCTACCCTATATCTGTACAATGAAGCAAAAAGAATCCGTACCACCGGTGTCGTGATGGATGAATTAAGGAAGATGGCCGAATACATTAACTATTCACAACATGCTGCGCTGAAGAAAATAATTTTAGAGTGCGGTCGTGAGCCTGAGGTCAAGAAAGCGAGGAATATTTGGGGGCAACCAAATAATATTGTTATCAATATCCAAAAGGATCCGGAGAATGACAATGTTATTAATTAATACATATTACATTTTGTTTTCGTATATATCTAATAAATCGGTATCTATTTTATTTATTAAACCTTTCATCTTTAGAAATTGCCATAATTGCTTTTTCCTAACAAGCCATTTCCAATTAGGGGATCTGGACGTTATTGTAGGAGTCCTATGCAGCGTTAGAGAGCAGTGGACACCTTGTGGCTAATATAATCCTAAGTTTATTTTCAGCATGTAAACGAACCCCTTGTTACAGAGAGTTAATTAACGGTTCCCATTTTCCATAATAATATTCTTGTATGGCTTAAAAGCCAAGATCAGCATACATCTTACGTAAGGCAAGAAGTACTACCATTTTTAGGTACCCAGACACAGACAGATTGCTGTAATACAACCCTAGTTAGAAGAAAAGGGAGCTATATCAAGTGTGCTCATGTCTTTTGCAGCAACCAGGCAGAAGTACCTAAGCATAAAGAACATTTCATTTTTATTTTGTTGGAGCATCATGGTCATACGACTAGTCGCGCAATCCTGATATAAACAAAAACCACAAAAAAAAAAAAAATTGCTTTGGCCATCGTTCGCCAGATTTTTTTTATGTGGTAATTCGGCAAACTTTTAGACGGACTACCTGATGGTAAGCAATGCAAAAGGTGTGCATTTCGGTCTTTTAGGGATAAGGGTTCCGGATATTTAAAGATTGGGAAGGATGAGGGAGGAGATCTCACTTACATGGTGAAACACAACGCCGGTTTTCTAGGAGGCCGGAGTATCACTCCGATCGAGCCGACCCATCCGTTCCGAAGCTTGGCTCTCCCACATTAAATTAAGTATTTTTTAATCAAGACAATAAGTTCAGTTGAAGCTGTGCATATTTATTGAGTATACGACCTGGTCCTCAGATCATCAACATGTCTTCAAATAGGTTTTGATGAAAGAAAATAAATAAATTCAATGTTTTTGTTTTTTATTAATAATATAAAGTAAACGCGGTGACATTTTCTTCATTTGAGACACCACCTTGTAAAATTCGGATCCGGGTTTTATTTTTGCTTTTACTGATCCCTGCAATAAAAAGAAAAAGGATTTATTAATAAGGATCTGAAGAATCATCACTGATCGAGATTGTCATATCTCTGATGTCACAAATGTTGCTGCCTGGAATACTGGATTTGGTTATGGATTTTACATTCTCAATAATACCAGTATGGAGTGAAAGAATATTCCCAGGACATGGCAGTAAAGCAATAGGATATAAAAACTGTAGCGACATCTACTACACAAGAAGCAGCAACAGTACCAATCACGTCGTAGTCACCAGTTTGGAGGGATGAGAGAACACCTTCGACCAGACGGGTGTTATGTCTGGTGGGCTACTGCCTGACGGCTGTTGTCGAGTTTTTTGTACCTGTTCTATTTGCGATGTAGAATCTTGAACGTGATAGGTGCTGTTGCTGCTTATTGTGCGGTAGATGTAGCGACATTAGCAACAAAACCATTAGGCATTACCAGTAGATAGCTAAATACTGCCAAAGTACTCGTAGCCATTAGATTAAACTAATATAAAATAAAATCTCACCAATACTTTTTTCTGAGGAGTCGACCGTAGACGAGGTTTAACTTCTTCTTTCCAAAAAGCATTCCAATAATTCTTTAAAAAAATAATTACTTCTTTAAAATTATAGACCATCCCTTATTCGCCTACTTAGATATATAAAGCAAAGCATTTTTTTAAACCGAGCTTTATGACGCATAATTCGATAATGATAATGCACGTGCATGCGCGTGCATGTGCACAAAATACGCGCTAATAGTTCAAATTAATAATTTTACAACTAATAATAATTATTAATAAATAAAATTAACACTAGAATAAAGTCCAAATATTAACTATTCAATTGACAAAGCAACTGCTACCCGATGGACATTGTGCAGCCATCCATAATTCCCAACCAATTTCGTCAAAACAGTCTGTGTTCTAAATTGAAATTTGCCATCCATTCTGTGATTATTTGGATTTGGATAGGCACTTACCCCTGATCTCAATATTCTCTTCTCATCAAAATCTTTTAAGTCACTTTGTTTGTCCGGTCCCATCAATGCAGACTCCTTTGCAATCAACAACACCAGTTCAGGAGGTGCCTATCAAATATTAAAATTGTAGCTAGGTAATTCAAATACATTTTAAGACATTCTTAGTTATTTTTCAAAATCTTTAACGATGTTCAATTGTTTTCTTCTTTATAATCATTGCCCCACTTTAGGATTTTCTCCTGTATCGTGGGTGCGTTTACAAACATAAAATTTCACATAAACATCACAACCAGACCCAGAACAACAATTTGTAAAACCCGCGACACGTTGCGCGGTAGCCAGTTGTCAAGCCACCGCGCCAACCGTGCAGTCGATTGCCAAGAGAGCTCTTACACACGAACGGCATGTTCCCAACAGCAAAGGTAACAACAGCCGACAGTAGAACTCATTTTACAAATTTGCGAAGCGTGCGCACTCTTGAACTATATACAGCCGACCGACAAAACGGCGGACGCGGCACACTACATCGGTTGCCCCCGACGCGCGTCGACGGTTGCAGTTATGCTTTTGTCTTTTAACATGCTTTTAACAAATTTCTGTGACGATTTCAGACAGCAACAGACAGGGCCTTTGTTTTGCGATAATGGAAAATCACCAAATGACTCTCACCGTCCCGGGTAAGGCCTTCGCGACGTTCGGGACTTTCAAAAACTCTGATTAAATAATTTTCAACCTTATGCTTATCGTAGTGGCTTTGAGTCAGTAAAAGTCAAGTTAGCCTTTGCACATGCGAGGGGGTTTCATATGGATTTTCCAATTTGGGGTAAAAATAAGGTCTACCTCGTTATGTCTAAGGAGATAAGGTCGGAAATCGCAAAGAAATAATAAAATACTCGAAATTACCTTCTCTGGTATTAGCTCATCATTGTGCTCAGCGGCTGGTTCTTTGTATGTCTAATAAATAGAAATTGTAATTAGTGTAAGTTAAAATTCAGACCTTAGTACAGTTACCCGCACATCAGTGAACATACTTTGACCTTGGGACCGCCTCTATTTTCTACGACATAAGAGCTGTTTTCGTAGTTCAAATGGAAACACTGATTAGCAGGTGACGGTACATACTGCACATTTAATTGGTATGTAGATGACAAAATAAAAACTGATTCATTACAGATAAAGTACCTAGCTTTTGTTACACTAAATTATAGGTAGGTAGCTTTTTAAAACCATTAGTCAGCTCAGGTGATCTCTCAAATGAATAAAATCTTTATTTTAAAACACCACTGAGGAAAATAAAAATCTCCGGTCGCTTGCTGAAAACCAAAGTTATAGGAGAGCCGTACTGCCGCACATCACTGTGCCCGCTCGGTCGCAGTGATGTACAAGACCTTACAGAAAACCACCGTGAAATAGACACAGCGTTGTTTTTCCGTGTAAGTGAGGTTACGGGAGACTCAATCCTTTCCCTCCTCAATCTCTAAATCCCCAAAAAGCCGACAGCGTGCTTGCAAGTCGTCTGGTTCTGGGTGATGTTATCCATGGGTGGGGTCGGTTGCTTACCTTCAGGTAATTCGTCTGCTCGTTTGCTGCCGTATAACATTAAAACCATAATCAAATACCATAGCTTACAAATGTAAAAGAATCTGTGGACCGTGGGTGGGTGTGCATTCACACTGTCTTATTCGCGTTGCCGACCTTTTAGGGATTAGGGATTTGGAGATTTAGGAACTGGGGAGGAATTGGGAAGGGGAAGAGATTGGGTCTCTGGTAACAGTCTTTAGAAGGTAGGCATTAGTGAATTGGAACCCTCTTTTTTATTAAAGAAGAGGGCAGGTATTCACTGTAAAGTGGTGGTAAGTAATTACCTTCGCCCCTCTCCTACTGACTAAACACACGCCCGTTCCATCTTCTTCTCCAAGCCAAGGCCGTGGTACCTTTTTGGCCATGTTTGGCCTTAACTATGGGAGATCTACCCTTTGTACGTGTATTATGCCATAAAATACTTACATCAGTATACTTGTACTGGGGTACAAATCTTCGTCCCAAATCGAGGTAAACATTTGATTGTTCTACGTGTTTATTCTGACCAAGCATATCAGCTGCGTCACCAGCTTCCACCTCTGTCATGAATCTTACCAAAGTCATCTAAGTAGGAAATAATTTTTGTTGGCATAAAAACGGTAGACCGATATGACGGCAGAGAGATCTAGCGCGGGACCAGCGGCTTTACTTGCTTTCCCAGGCACGGGGGTGATACATTTAACAAAATTCCTAACTCTGGCTTATCAATACGTAATCATTTTTTGTATTAGCATTTTTATCCAACACATCAGCCGGCTAGTGCGCCAACCTTGCAGTCGTATAGTCATTCTTTTTTTTTTAATTTAAGAATAAACATTGCCCTACTCCAGGATTTTCTCCTGTATCGTAAGTGCGTTTAACAAAAATACCTTCAAATTCTCATGCATAAGCCTCGCAGACACCAAAACAACAGTTTGTGAATCACACAAAGTTGTTCCTTGCGGAAAAAGAGCCCGCGGAACGTTGCACAGTTGCCTATCCACGTCAACAATTGGTAATCAGGTCATAATCAACTTAAGGATTATTCTGGATATGAGAATACGAAATTAATCAGAATTGTGAGTATAATTTCAAATTAAATACGCACCTGAATTCGTTTATTAATGTCGGATGTTTTATTTTTAAAAACATCTTGACCAAATGCATCATCTTGATACAGATCGGAATTAGCTGACTCATTGTCACTGCTATAAATGTCTTCATACTCTATAATATTTGGGTAAAGTTCATCACTTCCATTACCCAAGATTAATTTATTTTCCTTTTGAGCTGTTTTAATTTTATTTAAATTTGAAGGTAAATGCTTATCATAGTGTCTCGTTCCGATAGATTTCTTCACTGGCTGATTTATTTTATAATGATCATTTCCCCATACATCTGAATTAATTGCGTGGCTTAAGAGGTCCATTAACGTATGCTAATCAGAAAAAATATATTTTATGTCTTTACATAGATTTTTTTTATTCAACCTTATTTTCAATAAAAAAAAGGTAAATAAGGTAGTCTTAGTTGAGGCCATGGTTGGGACCGAAAGAACTGGAACGCCGTCTCTTCTTTCTGCTGAGCACTTAGTGCTCACAAAGAAGGAGGAGGCAGAGTGCGTATGAGAGACATCTTTCTCACGCCCCAGCCGCCGCAGTAAACGAGATTCCGGGCGTCAGATATCGAGCAAAGTTCTCCGGCACCGTAAGCGCAGTCTGCGGACGGCCCGCAAGGATAGTTCGCCACCCGAACAGAACCAGATACAGACGGAACTCGAGCGTATGGCGCATAGCGGATTGAGCGCGCTTCTAAGAGCTTATATACCACCACAGATGGGGCTCAATGCGGCAGATCTTCAATCAGGGTTGCGGGTACGCAATAATGTACTTCAACACCGGCTTGGAGCAGGAGAAGGCATGGGTAGTTTTTAGTCTGACACTCTGGCCCCGCCCACGACTGGGGAAGACATTTTATGATTTTTAGGCTCAAAAAAAAACATATAAATTAAGTATTATACATACGTACCCCATTAATAAATTGTCCTACTGTACAAAGACTAAAAAATAGTATAAAATGCTTCATGTCATTCGAAGGAAAGGTTTGACTATAAAAGTAAGAAGCTATAAAAATATTGCGTGATTCTTGATTGAAAAAGTTAATCAAAGATTTTTATTTATGTTTTTATAATTTCTAAGATAATAATTTCCATAAAGCGGCATCAACATGAATGCTTTTAAATGAACCAATCAAGCAACACAACCCATAACTGCTTTCTAGTGCTTACTCAAAGCGGGCCACATTGTCGACGAAGACGGTCATGTTCCGCAGAGAGTGTGTGATGTAAGTGTGGGAGAGCCATGCTTTATGCTATAGGTCTGCAAACGAGCAGACGGATTACATGATGGTAAGCAATCGGCGCCGCCCAGGGACACCCGCAACACCAAAACAGTTACGAGTGCGTTGCTGTCCTTCTGGGGATTAGGTGCTTGAAGATTTTGGGATTGGGGGAGGGGAAGGATTGGGCAAGGGCATCGGTAACCTCACTCACACTGCGAAACACAACACTGAAATTGTTTCACCCCGGTTTTCTGTGAGGCCGTAGTATCACTCGAGCCGAACCATTCGTGCCGAAACTTGGTTCTCCCACACTTAAGATTATGTTTTATTATGCATCCATTTCCCCCTGCTTAAAGAAGAATTTAATATAAAAGGCTTTTTTAAAAAAAAACTAGGAAACTATTTGTATCCGGGACTGATAAAAAATACCAATTATAACCGCTAGGGTTTAGATTGTCAAACGACGGTATTATGCCATCGGCGCCGCCCTTTGGACACCTGCATCAACACAAAAGTAACGAGTGCTTTGGCGGCCTTTCGAGGATTAGGGTTTCGGAAATTTGATAAAGATAGGGTGACTTCACCATATTATCCTCAGGAAGGGAAGGATATGGTCGGTAGTCTCACTCACAGGGCGAAACACAACGCAGTTGCTTCACGCCAGTTTTCTGTCAGGTCGTGTATATATCGTGACGAAGCACGTGGGTCGGTATACAAAAAAGACAAAAAAAAATTAAGTTATACTTTTATAACATAATCTTAAGTAACGACCGATTACAACTCAAATACACTGTTGTAAGTCAGTTTAATCGTAGAATCAAAACGCAAGTCAAAATGTTGCCAGGTCTGAAAATAGATGAAGTTTTAAGATATTTTCTCGTGTTCTATTAGCCAACTACCTACTTATTGCAATTATATCGAATTATTAAGAAAATATTTTTTATTAGATATTATTAGATAATTATTATAAGTCAATGAGTCAACCCTATACACTTATGGCTACACAACGGTAATATATTTTTTTTAGAGTGACAACACCGAATTAGATTAATTTGACATTCTACAAGTCAAGTCAGCTGAACAATGCATTTTATTTATTTATCGTGAAAACGAAATTATAATTATTTGATTCCGCTGTTGTTTATTCCCTTCTCTATGTTTGAAATGTGAAATTCTATTTTCAAACTCGCATCGTACGTGACTGTGTCGGGCGTGCTCTGTGTATTGGTGCCATTGTTTTTTTTTCTCGCAAGAATTTGTTAAAAAATGTTTGGAAGGCCGAGGTGTAGAGAGTGGACTCCACTCGCTACTCAACAACTTCGTCTTCGGAGTTTGATTCAGGTACTATAAACGGCTTTAGAAAGTTGTATTACTTTTTTTTCTTAAAAGTTTATAAACAGACGCCTACGCTCGCACGAGTATGACTTCATGATAATATTTTTATTGTCATCGATGACATTTATCTATTATTATTTTCCATGTTAAAATCACTCGGAAAGTGATTATCAAGCGTTGTATGTGGCGATTATCATTATTGTGTAGCGGTTATAATGAGATGAATTTATTTTAAATTGGATTTTCCTGCTTTTGACAACTGGATGGTTTTGATAACTCGCACCGAGTTGTACCCATTTAAATAGGTCAATTCTTGTATGATTTGGGAGTACTTTATCTATATCAAGGCCTGTAAACATGTATTGACAAATGAGAATTATTTGTGGCTCTTAATTTAATAGACTCCTAAAAAAAAGTTTTGTATTGCTGTTTGTCTAAACATCTTGGTCAGTGGGTCGTCTTAGGGGCGGAGTTTCTTTTCTTAATTCAATAATTTACAAAATATTAGAATTAACAAAATACCAAAATTGATTTTTACAGTCTCAAAACTAATTTTAATACAATTTGAAATACCAGTTCTTAGAAACATATTGAATACACAAGATAATTGTAAGATACCTATAGACAATTTGTATGTATCTTATTTGCATTTAGTTTTTGTGCATTTTATACATAGTGTAAACATTTATACCATGTTTTTATTAAATGAGCAATTTAATTAATAACTATATTCCAAATAAAACTATTTAGGAAAAAAAAGTATTCAAGATAAAAAACAAGTAGGATAGTGTGAAGTTTCTGATTTTGAAAAAGTGTGCTTCTAGTTTGTTTTTTAATAGTATATATGTACTTTTTAAATAAAATGTTGGATTTTCTCCTGTTCATGGCTGCATTTACAAACATACAATTTCACATGCACATTACACCCAGACCCGGAACAACAATTGTGGATCAACCAGAGTGGTTCCGTGTGGCAATCAAACCCACAACACATTGTGCTTCAACCGGTTGCCCAGCCACTATGTCAACTGTGCAGTCATTCAAAAATACTATCATTTATAAATTTCTTTTCGATTGAAATTTGATTTGTTAAAAAGCTATTGTTTTATTATATTTGGTTTAAAACGTTGAATTTTATTTGAAAGAATTTTCTAAAGTGTTTCAGAAACTAATCTAAACATTTCTTTGTGATCGTATCAGCCATATTATCTGTGTGTAATGTGTAATGAAATCTATGTGTCAATGAATGCATTCTATTGTACAGGATGATGTTGCATACTTATACAGGATGGTTAAGCAACCTTTGTTGATAAACTTTCAATGGAACAAAAATTTGTAGTTTACATTTTTGTTAATACTCTGTGGTTAAGAGGGTGTCCATAAATGACGCAAAATGATTAATGGGGGTAAAGTCAAATCTCGTCTCATGTCTTGGAGATGAGGGTCCCAACATTACATAAATTATTATGTGATTCTGTTTGATAGCAAAAAATACTATAAAACTATTGTTAAATATTTTCTTACATTTATGACTCTCAGCAATATTAACTACAACAAAGATATGCAAGAAAAAAAAATGTTTTTTTCTTTTTACAAAGATGAAAAATCTGAAAAACAAATGTCATATTTTGTTTTGCAGATTATTTTATAGATTATTATATACCCGAAGGTGTGAGATTGAACAAAATCTAACCAAGGGGCAGGGGAAGAGACAGAATTTTTTTAAAACACCTTATGTTAATTTGTGGTGTAATTGACTTGAACTTACATAATACATCTCACTGTGATATCAAATTAAACTTCCAAATTATGTGGTTCCTCTTTCAGCATAGACCAAATTTCTCTTGTATTTGAAAATCTTTAAAATTGTACTCTAATTTTTCCTTCCTATCATGTGAATAAAAACAAACTTTCATCTTATAGCAGTAAAATTCAAAATTACATACCATTTATTTTAAATTTTCAGATTGTCGGCTACAATATAAGACCGCCTGAGTGGTGTACATCACCATGCAGTTTCTACTTAACTCTACATCACACCACAATGTCAGCACCGTTCTATACAAGCGAGAGGATTTGTTCACCACATCCAAAGTGGAAGGAAATTGATTCAGGTTCTTATTTTTAACATTTATATTATATTAAAAAGCTAGTTTTTGTTAGTGTTTTTGAACATGCTAATCTTTGTAATAGCTGGTTCAAATTCAACAATTCCTTTTGTGTTTGATACTCTTTTTATTGAAGATGGCTGTAAAATATCATGCTGCTATCAATATTGGAGCCAAGAGTGGCTATTAAACTCCTCCAATATCTGATGTTATGAATAAAAAGTTATCCAAAAGTGTTGAAATTATAATCTTACACCATTTTTTGCAAAGTCAAACTCAAAGTGAAAATCATTTATTCCAACTAAACCATAAATAGGTACTTTTGAAATGTCAAAATAGAGAAGTAGTCTGTCAGTCTGTTTGTCAGTGAACCTAGGTGCTCATTCCAAATTGTAGATTCGAATGGAGAAGAACGAGAAAGAAACTCCATTTGTTACTCTTTAAAAAAACATATTAAAAATTAAAATATTGCCAGGTACATAATAGGTTTTACTCATCTTAAGGAATACGGGATTAGTCTATCGCCATATGAGTACAATGCCAGATTCTATGCTGCTAATTTCTGACACACCTTCTTACTTTACCAAATTATTTGCTGATTTACTCCTTTCAAAAAAAACGCTAATATTGAGAATTTTAACAAAAACTCAAAAGTTGGAATCATTCGCCAAATTAAATTGTTATATGTTGTTTACATTATTGAAGAAAACATTCCAAGTGAATGTGAATAAAATAACAATCAACCTTTAACTTAAAACAATAATTTAACATAAACAAAATAAACTGATTGTAACCAATTATGACTCATTAGACAGCATAGTCTAGCTGCTATGTGTGTCAATCCTTATCAAACATATGCCTAATACACTAATTAATACAATTCAGTTGACGTTTTTATCATTAACACTGATATTATTTGTTTAGATTTAATTGTGTGTGTGGATTTTTTTAACAAAGCTTTGGTTTTTGTTACTAACAGCCGAAATTACCGATCTCAAATTATTTTTCTTGAAAGAAAAGTGGTTGGTTATCCAGATTTTCTCCTGTTTCATGGCGGAACAACAATTTGCTCTTTTGACCTTTATCTGTGTCTAAGCCCCTGAAGCCACGTAGCTACTTTGTTGTATGCAAACTTATTTCGAAAACCCTTTTTTGTGATTGGGAAATCATTAAATACCTTCTTCCGCCCAGAATAGGGTGGGGCATGAGTGTCAGACTCTTACTGACCAAGAAAACCCCGCGTTGTTTCTCCTTCTCTAGGCCGAGGCCGCGGTGCCTCATTGCGCTTACCCCACAACCCCGGCTAAACATCAGCCCTTAGCACTACGTCTGTGATTTAGAAACTTAATATTGATTAATCTTGCAACCAACCAAATTTGTATATTGTTTCTACCAACAGTTTCGTCAGCTGTGCTAGATTAAAAGAAGAAGCCTATGTGATCATCTATCTCTTTGCCATATTTCATTCAGATCTGTTCATATATTTCTACGTGAAAGAGTAGCAAACACCATAGTTTTGTAATACTATATTATTGTATGGATAGAACTGTCACTTCTTATATGGATAAACAAACAAACGCCCCTTTCCATCCCGGAATTACCTACGTAGCTCATTATAAACAGGCCCAACAACTTTTATCACAAAAAATTCTTATCTGCGCCTGCACATATTAAGACGAAATGTAAATAACTAGCATGTGTTTTTATTATTTTTATAATGTATTCACTTCTCTTAACAGTTGGGTACAGAGTTATACCTTAACTAGCTATTACCCGTAATTTTGCCATAGATAACTGCTAAAATGTAGTTCATATTACCTTCAGCTTTCAAACGAATTTCCAGAGTCATAAGACACAACCGTCAAATCATAAATCGCTCCTTTGCGAACTGAAAGAAAGATAATTATAACACGTTAAATAATTGCCACGTAGGTCACCGGTGACCTACGGTAGGAGAGGATTTGCCTTGAAGTAATAGTTTTCTGTCGGCAGTCAAAGGCTTAAGCACTTTTGCATTTATTTATAAAATAATATGTGTCATTACCAAAGCATGTAAAGATACGTTATAGAGTTTTGGTCTACTAAACATAAAAATAACTCTCTGTACTACATTTTATCTTCATTCCCAGTACAGTTCTGATAAAAGATATTTTTATCGCTTGAATTGCAATTCTTCGTACCCGCGCTATCTATCAGCTCTTACGAATTACAATTACATCACCATTCTGAATCATAACTGACGTTTATTACAGAATCAACGCAACGAATGTCGTCAACAAACGTAGTTATACGTATTTGGTGTCATATTATGCATACTAACGAGGAAAATAATAAACTACCACAAGACACCGTCATTCAAACATGGGGAGTCTATTTCAGTGGTCTAAGATACATCGGGGCCAATCTTGCCTCAAATTTCACCTCAGACTGCTTCAAATGTAACACTTTAGTCCTACAAATGCACGGAGGATACTTCTGCTCATACAAAAGTCTTAAATTAGATATAATACCACCAGAAAACGAAATAGAACACGGTTCGCTCTCATCTGACTCTTCTGAAAGGACCAATCTTTCAAAAATCACTTTAGATGCTAAACATATATTGAATAATAAGCTAGGAAAAGAATCGAGGTCCATTTCTCCCAATAAATTTTCTAAGAAGGCTGATAAAGAGTATTCGAAAAGTCACAGTCCAATTGAGAGGGGTTTTCACCAAAATTTTCCAACTTTGAGAACATCGGCTAGCTTGAATATAGGGCAAAGTCAAAGAGACTACTACAGGCGAAGAGAAGAAGATTCGGAACAAGGAAAAGGCGATCCAAAGCCACCGAATCATATATATGAACATTCGCCTAATAATTTAGACGTAAAGGAGTATGCGAGCGTAAACTGTGATATAGCGTTGAAGAACGCGTCTAAAGAAGATTTATCTTGTAACATAGACTTAAGCGAAACAGCAGAGAACTACGACTTGAGAAACGAAGCCGATGGAGTTCCTAAGTATAGATATTTAGCTCTAAACTTTCTTAAGTCTGAAATAAGACCAAGTTACAACGCAACGAAGTTGCAAAAGCTACATTTGTTGCAATATTCCATAAAGAAGAGACAAGAGGCCGTTCAGGAGATCAAGGAGAGGATTTATAAGAAGTCTGCTTTAACGAACGATGATTGGCCGACTTTAGATGAATACTGTGACATCAGACTTAAGTTCAAGAGTAGATCTCAAAGGAATTTGTTTTCTCCGGACGATGGTGATAGTTTAAATAAGGATAAGTCTTCGTCACAAAGCGATCTGAGCGTGAAGAATGGAAAGATTAAAGAGGATAAGCCTGTTGTGTCCAATGGGCCGAGGTTGACTCTGAAATTGAATGATCTCTTATCTTTTAAGGTTGGTTCCCCATTATATAGATATTAATTTTCAATAATAAAGCACCCTTACGCAAAAGAGGAAGCAATGTAAGAATTGTTTTACACCAGTTTTCTGCGAGGCCATAGTATCACTTTGGTCGAGTCTGCCCATTAGTGCCGTTTTATGGCTCTTCTACCCGCATGCGTTAACTTTTATCGACAGACAGACTGTATTACAATATAAGTGAATTATTTTAAATATAATTTTAAAATTTTTGATACTTTCAGGCAAAACCATCGCCCTTCCAGAGGGCGGAACATGTAAGGCTGACAAAACAACTAGAGATCCTACGTTTCAAGCGGATCATACTATCAGATGAAAGAGATAGCAAGCTAACGAACATAAGGAAACTGAAAGAGAGGCATGCTAAACTGTTTGAAGAAAACCAGGATGTTGGTGAGTGTAAGGACAAGTTTTTTTAACGGTTTTTTTGGTATCATTTTGGGAGGTGCTATTTCATTTTGTATTGTCTGTCTAAGGGTCATTTTTAAACTGTTTGTTTGGCGTTTTGATTGAACTTAAAGAATAATTTGCAAAAAAGAAATAGTAATGCCTTAATGGGTTCCTCATCATTTATTTCGGTTTCACTCCTACCGCAACCCTTTGCCATCGGCTACGCGACAACACTTTCATATCCATCATATAGGTGGTTGGTAGTCACCAACTGTGCGATTTTCGCGAAACATTTTTCCTCGCATAGCTATACTTTGGAGTGATATTTTGGCGACGGTATTTCTAAACCGCTACGACATTGAAACCTTTAAGAATCGATTGCACTCCTTCTTAAAAGCCCGGTAACGCGCTTGTGACTCCTCTGGTGTTGCGGGTGTACATGGGCGGCGCTGATCACTTAACCATCAGATGATCTGTCCCCTCTTTCGATTCGTATTCTATAAAAACAGGAATTTGTACTTTGTCGCCTATTGCCTAAATGCCATTTTGGCTCATAGCACACATTAGACCTCTTTTTTAGGCAAATGGCAATCATTTGGTTCTCATCGCTTTTCAAAATATACATCTTGTTGTAAATATGGAATGCATGCGTTCATTCAAAAATTTCAAAAATAAAAAATATATCCTAATTTTTATACAAAAGGTCTAAAGTTCAAAACCTTATCCGTGTGAGAAGAGGCTTTTGCTCAGCAGTGGACACTTATAGGCTGATAATGTGATATATTATGTAAAACAAAATACTTCTTGCAGGGACAGAACTGATGCAGAATTACCACTCTTTGTCCCGTCGTAATGAAAACGTGAAAGAGACTCGACAAGCTTGTGGGGCGATCCGCGAGCTCGCCGCGTCCTCACACCACGCGTTGTGCTCCCAAAGAACTGAGCTACTTCGACAGTTGCATCAAATATTTTATATTGAACAGGTAAGATTTATGCTTAAATTAAAAGATAAAACGTATGTTAAGTGTGCGAGAGACATGTTTCGGCACGAATGGTACGGCTCCGGAGTGATACTACGGCCTCACAGAAAACCAGCGTGAAACAGCCAAAGCGTTGTGTTTCGCCGTGTGAGTGACGTTACCGGAGGTCCATTCCTTTCCCTATCCCAAAATCTCCAAGTCCCTCATCCCTAATTGATGGATTTAACTGATTGCTTACCATCAGGTAATCCCTTAGCTCGTTTGCCGACTTATCACACAAATAAAAGATGTGCCAGTTATTTCTTGTCCTCCACGAATAACTCCTATTTATTAGCAACTTATTATGTATTCTAGTTAACAATTTAAGTGATGTGGGCATTTATTTTTTAATTTATCGATATTAGAATATGTTGCAATATATTCATTGTTTATTAGTTTTGATGTTAAATGAATGTTATGTAATCAACAGAAAGACCAAACAACTTGGACCATATGCGGAGTACCCTTACCAGTTTGTGGCGATGAAAGTCCAAGAGGTACCCCTCTCAGTGATTCAGTGGCCGCTGGCTTTGTGGCCCAGGCGACTTGTTTGGCGGCCTCACTGCTGAACCAGCCTCTGAGGTACAAAATCACGCTGTTGGGATCAGCCAGCAAGATCCTGGATGTCACTCCTGATTTACCCGATCCTAAGTAAGTTGGATTTGTGCTATGACACATTTTTTAATATTAATCCGACCAGAGGCAGTGGCAATAAAGTAAGGTTTTTGACATTTGGATAAAAGTATTGAATTTGACTAGTTGGAAACTACCGTATTAAGTCATATTGCTTAGTTTGTGGCAGAAATAGTAGCAATGACTTAATAATAATACATTTAAAATTATATTTATTACTAGCTTTTGCCTGCGACTCCGTTCGCGTGGAATAGTGACAGATTTTTGGTGTAAAAACTATTCTATGTCCTTTCTCGAGTTCCAAACTGTCGGTACCAAATTGCACAGAAATCGGTTTAGTAGTTTATTCGTGAAGAAAAGACAAACAGACAGACAGAGTTATTTTCGCATTTATATGTTAGTATTAGTTTGGATTTATATATTATACTTTATTGTACACATTATGAAAAAAGAAAGAGCAGGCTTACAACTACAGGGTGTACAATAGGCGGTCTTATCACACAGGGTGATATCTTACACCTATTTTCTTTTTCTCAATTTCAGTATCCCTTTATTTCCTCGCGGCGGTGACACGACATTGTTTCGCTACGCATTGTTCCTGCTCAACAAATGTATAGGACAGCTCGTAGTCGGTCGAGGTTTACCGTTGACGGACATACGACCTACTTTGTCGAATCTCCAGAGGCTGCTTACAACTCCTGCGACCATGTAAGTAGCTTTTGCTATTTTTTGGACGTAGAAAGCTATGCATAGGTTATTAGTAAACGTTTTTCATATAAATTATTTATTTAGAATCTGAATATGCATATAAAATTTGGTAAATATCA